AAGGAATTCCATGCCATGATAAAAAATCAATTTGATGTTAAAGTAAAAACTTTCATAATTGATAATGCACAAAATATACAAATAGATGTTTTTTTCATATTTGATTAATCATGGGACCATTCACCAGATGTCATACGTAGAAACTTCTCAGCAAAATAGAATTACTGATAAAAAAAAACATGCATCTTCTTTAAGTAATACATGCCTTTTTCAAATGAACCTAAATCATTCTGGTCCAGAAGTATTCTTACTGTTTATCATCTTATAAATCGACTGCCAACTAGAATCTTGGATAATAGAAGCCCTTATGAAATGTTGCATGGTTGTCCTCCTACTGTTCATCATTTAAAATTATTTGATTGTGAATGATTTGTGTATTTTATTAGCAAATTATAGAGACAAACTTGCTAAGTGATCCATTAAATTTATATTCATGGGGATTTTTTTTGGGGGTAATTCAGTGAGGATAATGACACCCTGCCCGTTTTTTGAAATCATTAGTGGTTTTTTAATGCGTTAGGTGAAAATGGAAGCCTAGATCTTCGTTGGGGCACACGTGGTGCTACCATAACGACCCCAACCTCATTATTTATTTATGGGACATAACCTACCAAAAATGCTTGCAAATGCTATGACCCAAAAACCAAGTGAATGTGTGTTTTTCAAAATGTTTAATTCAATTAACAAACTTTTTATTTCAAACTGATAAGCCTCAAGAAGATATTAACAAAACAACCTCTACCCAAGATCTCTAAAAAGTAGATGATCTCAATTCTAGAGTCAGAATCATTAAGATCACTACTCCTAATCAAGAAATGCCTCAATAATCCATTCATGAAACTCCACAAACCTCCGATGAGGAGAAACAACCAAATGAATATCAGGGGGAAATAATTCCCCAAGACTTCTAGCCAAAATGATTTGATCGTATTACTCAACCTCCCTATGGTTTAAAGAATTATCATATATATCATGGCAAGGAAAGCGACCATAGAATACATTACCCCATTGAAAAACAAATAGATTTAAAATAATTATCTCCTAAATGTTGTGCTTTTTTTAATCAAAATTTCCTTAACTAATGAATCCACTACCTTCGAGGAAACTAATTAAAATGCAGTATGGAGAATTGCTATGAAATAGGAACTTGTTACTTTAAAGAAAGAGGTTGCAGTTTGTATAAGCCGAGGATCTAAATAATCAAAGTAGAGCGCACCTTCAAATAGTGTTGTTTCAATACTGGAAATCTTTGTGGTAGCCTTAAAATATATTTTCATCTCTAATTATAAAATTTAAAGCTTCAAAATAGTGTATATTGAGCAAATCTATGAAAACTTGAAAAGTGATAGTCCAAAACTGCATTAGAAGATGCACTATTTCCAAAACTTGAAATCTATTTTTTTCTCATGTCCATGCATCTTGAGGTCAAGATGATCAATTTGAGGGTATTTGGGCATCAAGAGGTGCACCCTAATTTAATTGTTTAGAGCCTCATACTTGTATAACTTTTGTCAAAGAAAAATCATACTCGTGATGTTGTTATTCTTCCTAAAGAGAAAAAACTAGTTGGCTGCAAGTAGGACTATAAAATGAAATACAAAAGTGATGAAACAATTCAGAGATATAAGGCAAGATTCGTTGCAAAGGGATTTACCTAAATCTATGGTGTTGCCTACAAGGAAACTTTTGCTCCTATAGTTAAAATGAATATTATGAGAGTTTTACTTTTTATTGCTGCCAACAATGATTGTCCATGGTATCAACTAGATGTAAAAAATGCATTGTTGTATGGAGATGTGGAAGAATAAGTTTACATAACACTTATTTCTATTTATCATCAAGAAGGCAACAAAACTCTGGCTTGCAGGTTCAGAAAAGCAATCTATGGGCTTAAACACTCTCTCAAGGCATGGTTTGCAAAATTAAATCAAGCTCTGATTGATATAGGCTTCTCTCGGAGTAATGTTGATTCATCAATATTTGTAAAAAGAGGGCAATCCGAGAATGTTATTGTCTTTATCTATGTTGATGATATCGTTATAACAGAAAATGATTCAAATGACAAAACAAAATTGAAAAATTACCTTCATATGAAGTTTGATATTAAAAATTTGGAAAAACTCAAATATTTTTTGGAATTGAGGTTTCTTACTTTCATAGAGGTATTTTTGTTTCCCAAAGAAAATATGTTTTAGATTTTTTGCTTGAAACTAGCAAGATAGGGTATAAACTTATTGATAATCTAATTGAGACAAATTATAAAGCCAACATAGACTCAGGCAAACCTTTGAAAGATATTGGGTTATTTCAATGTTTGGTTGGTCGACTTATATATCTCATTGTTACTAAAACCGATATTATTTATGCATTCAGTATGGTAAGTCAATTCATGCATTCTCAAAAAGTCGCTCATCTTGAAGCTGTCAATCGGATTTTAAGGTATCTTAAGTCACCTGGAAAATGAATTTCAATAAAAAAGAATGGAAATAGTGATATTATTGCCTTTTCTTATGCTAATTGGGCAGGCAATCCTACATATAGAACATATAGAAGATTCACCATACGGTATTGTACATTTGTAGGTGGCAACCTTGTAACTTGAAAAAGTAAGAAACAATAGGTAGTTGCTCAATGTAGTGTAGATGTTGAATAAAAAGCCATGACAACTATAACCTGCGAATTAATTTCGCTTAAATTTATTCTCAAGATATGGGTTTCAATAATTTGCATCAAATGGTTATGAACTATAATACCCAAGCTGCTGTACATATCACATCGAGACTATGCAAATAGAAACATATTGTCATTTTGTGAGAAAGGAAGTTAAAGCCAAATAAATTACTACAAATCAACTTGTCCAGTTTCAACAAATATTAAGCAACTTGAGCTTGATAGATATGAGCGTACCAACTTTAAAAGGAATGTTGTACACTATCAAAATCCTGACACGATGTACACTATCCAAATCCCTTGTACAGGACAACTTATGAAAATCCCTTATTTTACGTAACTAATTGTGAAGAATATATTTGTGATATATTTAATAGATACCTAGGGAATCAGTTTCTAATTGATTGAGATCTTGTATCATCTATATAATACTTGATGAATAAAATAATGGGCACAAAAGAACCCTTCAATGGTGGATGCAGGTTCAAGTGGTCGAACCATGTTATCTTCTTTCTCTTATTTTATTCTCGAGACTTCTTTTCAATTTCTTTAACAGAGGGGACCATGGCAATTCGGAAAGATAAAAGGCTTAGATTGTATAAAATAAAGTGTAGTTTTGATGTATGCGGGTGGGTGGGGCCATTCAATTATTGAGATTAGAGAAAGAGGGTGGAAACTAATTGAGAGCGAGAAATCTAGAGAGAGAAAAAGGAGAGAGGACGCTGCGTGCTGATGTAAGAGGACACAAAGGGCAACGGACGTGAAGCGGCTGTAGAGAGAGAAAGCGAGTACCTGAAGCAGCATGTAGAGAGAGAAAGAGTGTGCGGTAGAGAGAGTTGAAAGAAAAAGAAGTGCGCGAGGAGAGAGAAAGAGTACTTGTGTGAGCGTGAGGACATATTAGAGAGAGAAGAAAGAGCCTGGTGTGTGTGCGTTAGGTAGACAGAGTGCTTTAGAGAGAGAGGGACGGGCTCATATGCATAAAAGATTTGTAAATGTGTATCTAATTTAGAGAGAGAGGGACGGGCTCATATGCACAAAAGATTTGTAATTGTGTATCTAATTTAGAGAGAGAGAGAGGACCCATCTATCTAACTTATGTGGTCGTTAGGTGCATGCCTGTTTGGTGTGGATGCCCACCGGCCAGACCCTAAACCTTCAATCGGCGTCTAAAAATCAAACCACCTCAGAAACTGGTCAAGGGGTTAGGTCCGAGTAACTAATGAACTGGCTCAAGCAAGTATCGACTTGTTTAAAAAGTATTAAAAAATTAAAAATTAAAAAATATCTAATTCTTCATATTATTTGATGGTAGACCTTCGTTTTATTTTTCGGGTGGAAAGAGAAAAAAATGGGTTAAAATAGTTTTTTTGGTTGAAATGGTATAAAAAAGCTTGTTGGGATTAATTTTTATGGTAAAAAATCAATAAAGAGGTAGATAAAGGATGATAGGGTGTAGTGAAATGTGTAGGGTTTCTTTATGCAGCTTGAAAATAATACGAGGAATTAGGGTTCTATATGAAATTTTCGCAATAAACAAAACACATTCAAAAGAAGATAAGAATAAGTAAAACAAGATTAATTTTTTAAAAAAATCAATTTGTATTTAAAGGTGTTTTCAAATTTTTTTTAAAAATGAAAAAAAATAAAAATAAGTATGGATTACCAAAACATTTTCTAATCTTCGTCAAAATGTTCTAAAATATTTAAAAATATATTACAAACAAATCTTTTACTTTTTAGGACTTTATATATATTTTTAAATATTCTTAAAATAACTTGTCTGAAAAAAAAAAAAAAAAAAAACCTTTCTTCGACCGACCAACGAATGGAAAAAATCCATCGCCCCCGGAAAATAGGATCTTAGGAAGAGAGGCCGCTTTTGAGAGAGAGAGAGAGAGGGGCCCATAGGCATGAATCATTTATTAATGTGTATCTAATTTTGAGAGGGAAAAAGTTTATATAGAGTCGAAGCTCTAAACAATCAAATTAGAGTTTACAGCAAAAATTTTATTAAAAGAGATTGTTTTAATGTTCAAATATCCTCAAATTGATCATCTCAACATCAAGATGCATAGACATGAGAAAAAAATGGATTTCATGTTTTGAAAATATTATATTTTGTAAAGTATTTTTGTACCGTTAATTTTTAAGATTTTCAAGTTTTTAAATATATGTCGATTTACATTATTTTTTCAGTTTTAAACTTTATAATAAAAAAATATATATATTTTAAGGGTATCACAAAAACCACATTTTTCAATACTATTTGAGGTTAAGCTCTAATTTGATTGTTTAGAGCCTAGGCTCTATACAAACTGCACCCTAGGGGGAGAGGCCCACGACCTTCGACCCCCTCTTTGCGTCTCTTTGAGAGAGAATTACTAAACCAAAGGAGAGAGAGAGAGCGAGAGGCATGCTCTTTTCCTGAATCATTCTAAAAGCCATTCTCTCTGTAGATCCACCTAACTACTAATACTCGCCAACGACAAGACAACAACAAGAAGCCTTTGAATTTTTACGATTTGATGATTTGATCCGCCTCTCTCTCGCTAAATGTGAGCTACCAGACATACTCCCACGTGATCCTCTCTCCTTCCCACCAGTGGGTTGCTTGCCCCTGCAACTTCCCCCTTTTCTCTCTCTCTATTTTAAATACGCCCTCTCATTCCCCTCGTTTTGGCTGCAAGGATCTTTGCATTTCAGGTTGGTATCCCCTCATCCCCTCTCTCCTCCGCAAGTGTTGATACTTCCCCTGTTTGTTCCATCTACTTCTTACTGATTCCTCTCTCTCTACAAACGATTGAGAGTTTGATTTGAGTGCTTCCGGAGTTTTTGGGTTTTAATCGCATGTTATGTTGTTTTTCCTCTCTCTTCTCTCTCTATAAAGACTCTACATTTTCTTCTCATCTCCCCCTTTCTCTGAAATTGATGGGAATTCGTTTTGAAAATCTCAAAATTTGGGATGTTTAACTCTGAATCTCGTGAATGAAATGTTAGATCGGTGTTTGGTTCTGTTACTTTTTACTGCATTTTGGTTGGACCGGGCTTGATTATTCCAGTGTTTAGGATCGCTTTCTCTGACTTCATTTGCAAGGAATTGACCGATGGGCTTCGAATCCCTGTGCGTGAAGGTGTTGTGTTTGTTGTTTATTAGCTAATTGGTTTAAATTGAGCAAGTGTTATTTGAGATCTGCTTTGTTGTATGCGAGATCAATTTTTGCAATCGAAAATGTTGTATCTTTTTGTATTCTGTGTAGTTTATTGACATTGTTGTACTCCTCTTGATCTGGTTTGTTGCATTGTTGACCTTTTTTTTAACTGATTTACCGACCATTTATCTTAGGAAAAAGTTTATATAAGGTGTCAACCTTATACTGTACAAGTAAGGTGCCCAATAGAGAAGGTTCTTCCTATGCTGAAAACCCTCAAATGGGTCATCTTGACCTTGAGATTCATAGACATGAAAAAAAAAAAAAGGGGATTTCTAGTCCTAAAAATAATTAATCTTTTAACACACATTATCTGGACCGTCCGTTTTCAATATTTTCAGCCGTTTATAGATCTGCTTTATCGTCTTCATTTCTGGAACTTTAAACTTCATAATTGGGGGAAACAATAGATTTTCATATCATCGCAAGGCTTTGAGGCACTGAAATTGTATTTTCGGCATAGTTTTGAGGTACACCTTACTTCAATAGTATAAGGTTGACACCTTATACAAACCTCTGCCTTTATTTTAATATCTGAAGCAATAGTATAAGGTTGACACCTTATACAAACCTCCCCCTTTATTTTAATATCTGAACCAATGTAGCAGGACTTTGCCTAGTCCACTCTGACTCGGCCAAGTTACTCGGGCTAAGGCTGACTTGTGGGAGTTCAAGGGGCAACTCGCCTGGCACCAAAAAGAGATGAAAGAAATTTACAAAAATATTAAGCAAGAAAAATATTCAGAATATGTTTTAAGATGTATTTGATGGTTTTTAAGATGATGTGGGAACTTTTCTTATCACATAATCGAAATCTTATCTTTTTCCCTCTTTTGGATTTTTCTCACATATTCATGGTATAAATCAAAATTTTCAATAGTCCATCTTTTTTAGCTTTTTTCATCTGCTGTTGTCATTTAATGATTCCTGTCACTTATTTTATTTTTGCTATTTTTATAATATTTTTAACAAAAGTTTTACCTTTTTTTTTTTAATCTTTTCTTTGGGGTGAACAGGACCCTAGTGCATTTGGACTTGCCAGAATAACTCACCTTGCGCCAGTGGTGAGTACCTGGCCCGTCGTGATTCGAAAAACATTGATCTGAACTGTTGATGAATTTCAGTAATTTACAAATTCCAAAATGTTTGTTTGATCCACTTGAAAGAGAAAGATGACAATGATTAGGATTCGGAATAGCTTTAGAAACTCCGATGGTTAGATCGACCATTGAGTGATGGTATTTCCCTATTGAATATTTGTTGTATATTTGGATAACATTGTTGAATATCTAGTTTGTACTAGTTCTGGAATGTGAATTGAGACATGGTCTATCTGTTTATCAACTCTCTCTCTCTCTCTGTGCTTCTATGAAACTGTTGGAAATTTAGACTATGGAGTAATGAGTTAAATGTCTGGTTCATCAACTTTAGGATTCTGTTCTATACTTCTAGCATGGAAGTATAAAACACCAAAGATGGCCTGAGGTGGAACTCTGAGATTTAAAGCCCAAATATGAAAATCTTATGAAATATTGAAGACTAATAGCCTTTCTCATCTGGTCAATGGATTTTGATTTTTGGTTTTAGCCTTTCTCATCTGGTCAATGGTGTTCGATTTTTGGTTTTTATCGGGGTGGCATGGGCCGTGATATATTTAAGGTTTTCGAGGCATAACTTGCCCTCACCAGCTAACCAGCCTACAATCTTGCTCGTGCAATCTAATTTCTTTTTGTTTAGTCTGAGTGACCAACTGTTTCTTGCCGTGACCAGAGTGCCATATTCTCTTTGGCCAGGCGAGCTTAAGCAGTGTTACTCGGCATTTCTTTCTTTTTTCTCTTTTTCTTTTGCTTTTTTTTTCTATAATTTGTGTTACCTCAACATTCATTTGCTTTGGTTCTTTGATGTTTGACATTTCAACACTTTTGGCTCCTTAATACCCTTCTTGATATTATAAGTACTTTCTGTTATTGATAATAAATTATATAATAATTTTGTAGTTTATTACTAGTCAAATTGATTTATTAGCTCCACATATCTTCTTTATGGAAATTTTGTGACAACTGTTGGGATTATGGTTTTAGTGGTATCTGGGATGTGGGAGTGACAGCTGACGATGTTGTGTTGCAATGTTTCACTTGCCTAGTTTTAGTCCAGAGGGGATCTGACTACCTCTCACCGTAGAAACTAAATTTGATCAGCATTGACACATTGAGAAAAGATCAACAGCCTTCAAAGATCACATTATTTTTTTTGGCTTGAAATCTATGGGTTTCATTTATCACTGAACCTTGTGACCTGTTGTTACTTGTTAGCTTCTCTTGATGACTTCAATGACTTGGCGCTGTTTACTGTTGGAGGTATACGTGCTGGGAATGAGAGAAAGGAACTTTCTAGATATAATGGAGTTTGGAGTTTGCGGTCACATGCGATCAATTCAAATAATTTCATATTTGGACAACCAAATGGGTTCCTACGGAGATAGAAAAGGATTTGTTGGAAAGATAAATATGTTATCTTTCAAATGTCTTAGGCTTTATGCATTTCCAATACCGTTTTTCTGTTCATTATATGACAACTTAGAATGCCCAATTATGAACATGGATGCTGACACATATACAGGGAGCATGAATGTAACTTGGTATTTCCTGAAATCCATGTCATGGGTTTGGATAGAAGTGTCCTATCTGACACATTAATTCATTGATATTGCTTTCACAACATATCTTTGGTAGAACATGTTACATATTAAGTATATATTTATATATTTTATGATAGTAAATTGTTACTTTAGTGAAAATATTTTCCGGAGTATATCAGTATCAGAATCCAATCTTGTCAATCTTGTACATGAAGCATATAAAGTATGTGGGTATCTTAGACGACAACTGATTTCTGTGGACTGCGATAGCTTGAATTAATAAATTTATTACATAGATAACTTCAAACAAGATAAGAAAATTAATTTGTTTGGACGGGACTTTTTTCTCGATACAAAAGCTATCTATATCATATGGAATCTACCCAAGAAATTCCAAATGAAGATGCTTCAGGTTTGATGTTATAAGAACTTGAAGATGGCTTGAGAATCTTAAGATGAAACTTGAGATTTGGAGCCAAAAGTGTAAATTTTGTGAAGAACCAAAGCCTTATGAGCAACCTCACTCAACTGGTGATAATTGCCATTTCAGTTGTTGGGCTGGCCATGTCCATTGATGGACTGAAGGTGTTTAAGGCATGTCTCAGCCTTGCCACAATCAGTTAAGTTCAATGACCCTGTTCACACAATCCAAGATCTTTTTGACTGGATAAAAGTATTAGACAGTCTCAAGCCATAGCTACCCTGACACATCAGTTGGCTCATCATTCTGTTTTCGACATTTTGAGACTTCCAAGACCTGATATTATATGTAGTTCTAATTGTGAATATTATTATAGATTGGTATAATTATATTACAATATTGTTATCGCAATAACTTATTTTGTTTGAAACTTTGAATAAAGTGTTAAAAGAAAGTCATATATCTAATTAAAATTATAAATATTTCAATAACGTTTTTTATTTTGGTTAATGTGCTAAATTTTCAGACTTCCAATATGATGCTGATAAGTTGGACTGCCAAGAGGCGGGGCCCTTGCTCGGCCACACATGGGCAGAGCCCAACTCCAAGTACTTTGGCCAGGCCTGGGCCAGCCTGAATTATATCATAGAGGTCCGTGCTGGCCAGTCCCAGATATGAATTGGGCCGGTCGGGCCAGGCACGGGCCTCATACTGTATACAGCAGTATATAGTATGGCATATTCAGTGTTTAAAAAAGCGCTAGGCGGAACTAGGCGGTTAAGGGGGTCCAGGCCGCCTCGCGCCTAGGCGGGTGCCCAGAACCTAGGTAGCCCAGTAGAAAAATATTTTTTTTGGGTTTTCTCTCTCTAAAATTGCCTCTAATGGGTTTTAGGTTTCAAATGAACCTAAAACCCACAATTTTGCCCATTTAGTATTAAAAAAAGATAAAAAAATACCCTCAAGGAGCTGCATTTTTGCCCCTAGGTGGGGCGCAAGCCCTGGGCGGCTGCCTAGGCGGGTTCAGGCGGGCGCTCAGGGATATCCGCCTAGGTGGCTGCCCAGGAGCTGGGCGGTCCACTTTTTGAAACAGTGGCCATATTATATGGACTACAGCAATATGGTTTAATCTATAGTATAGCATAGCATTGTATGTAGAATAGTATATGAACTACAGTATGTGGTATATGGACTCTGAAAGTATGGTATAGGGACTTCAGAAAAGTCAGCTTTTGGGCTGAGCTAGGGCTGGCCCTTGCCTGGCTGAAAAATTAATCAGACCTAGTATGCCTGGTCTGCACCCAGCCTGCAGGCCATAGAGTGTGTCCAAACCCTACCTTGCCTGCTTGGCAGCCCTATTAATAAGCGAGACATTTTAAGCATTGTAAGCAGGCAAGTTGTGAATGGCATAAGTTCAGTCTAGTGCGGACTAGGTCTTCTTGCTCAAGCTAGATGATTTTTGGCTTGTTGAGGTAGGCCCTAGAGATTTCTCAGAATTCTCATATATAGAATGCTTACGGAGCTTGTTTGTTATCCGGGTGATAAACTTTGAATTTTTAAAATAGTTAAATGGAATTATCAGAATTTTAATAACCACAATGATTATAATTATGTCTAATTTCAGTAGCATAATAATGTATTGAAGCGTGGGACTTGTTGGATACTGACTCTGAAAACCAAATGAAGTGTTAGGCTAACATTGGATGAAGAGCACAATGGCCTTGAAGAGCACAGTCTTTTGGTTATAGCTTGACTGCTTGAGTCTATCATCCCCCTGAAGGTGGTCTGAAAGATCTAGGATCATGGAACTGAATCCATGGAGGTCGTGTGTGCTTAGACAACCTCCTGCGTGACTTCAACCTGGCCAACCTATATTGTCAGAACTAGAATATAATCATTGTTAACTTGGTTTGGAAAATTATCAACCTTTACGACTTCACATTGTTTAATTCCGGGTCCATATCTGTGGATTTTATCTCACCATTTCTTTGGATACCTATATTGCCTTAAATATCAACCAGCGTTCTGAGACTCAGCTGAGGTAACTCGGACTCGGCCGAGTAACTTGGCCTCACCCATAGGGCGAGTTTGGGCGATTTGGTTGTACAACATTTCGTTTTAGTTTAAATATATTAAAACCTCTAATTTGAATCAGATAGCTTAAAGAACCTTTTTGGTTGTTATTTATACGTAAAGTTGGGACTTTTTTTACACCTTTTGAAATATCCTTCTTTTTGGAGTTTAAAAATATAGGTGGCCTCCAAGAGAGTGGATCCCACAATCTCTTGTTAAGAGGTCGATTAATTGTGGAAGCAATAACCAACACGGCCATATGTTTCTTAATGATATAAAAGCGGCACTTTCGCTATATATAACTATAGTTTATTTTTATTTTCTTAAAAAAAAAGGGAGTTGGATTCGGGCGAGTTACTCAGACTCGCTCAAGTAATTCGCCTCGGCCAGGGCCTGAGTACCTTGGCCGAGTCAATGTTTTGAACACTGATATCAACTATCTCAGTTTGGATGTCTTTTGAAGAATCTCTATCATATGGAGAATTTGTATGCTAAAGAGAGTCAATACAAAATCATCCATTTTGGACTGTTACTTTCAGCATAAAGCATTTGATATATTGGCCATTTGATGGTGCCAAGGATATTGGAATTGTGCAAAATTGAAGTTGTTGATGGATGAAAGGAATATGTCTTCTGTTTTGAGCCAGTTTCGATTCCTAAATTTGCTTGCCATATGAATTTTTAACTGATTTTATGTGAAGACAAACTTCAGAATTTAATAATGGTGTATATTTTCTCTCATGAATGAGATTTACCTCCAATAAATTTAAGAATAATACTAAATTTAAGATATTATTCTTCATCATACCTCTACATAAAGAAGGCAAGTGTTAAGATAGGAGGAATGACCTCTAGACATTGATTTCTCATAGGATATTCTATAAATCATGTCAATAACGTATTTCAGAACCCCAAAACCATCACACTTGTCTATTCAGTCAGTATTCATGACCTTCGGATGATACCCTTCAAATATTATTGGTGCCTCGTAAAAGTCTATGTTGTGCATCATCACTCAAAAGTTATCATTCACTCTGGAAATTCTAATGAGCATGACTGATTAAAAAACTAATAGTCAGGTTTGCTCCCAAGGTACATGCTCATTTGAATTTGAGAAAAGATCAAACCATATCGAGAATTTTTTATTTGAAACAGTGTATTTTTATCATAGGCTAAATAGAAAATCTTGAAGAAAAAAGTAAATATTTTAAGTTAGGGAAAAGTTTATATATAAGGTTGCAACCTTAAAATGTAGAATTACAGATGCACCTCAAAAATCTATCGGAAAGGTTGTTTTAATATTGAAAAACCCTCTATTTGATCATCTCAACATTGAGATGTATGAATATAAAAAAAGAAGTTTTTGAGTCTCAGAAATAGTGCATCTTGCAACACATTATCTAGGCCTTCTATTTTCAAGATTTTCATATGTTTATAGATCTCCTTGATTTTAACAAGTTTTAGAGGTTAAAATCTTCTAATTAGATATGAAAATAGATTTTAAGATATTCCTAAGAATTTTTTACAACAAAATTATATGTTATGATAAAATTTGGAGGTGCGCCTTAATTGGATTGTTTAAGGTTGCAACCTTATAGAAACTGCACCCTTTCAGTTATACTTATTTAAAAGGTAAAGTTTATATAAGGGCGAGGCTCTAAACAATCAAATTAAGACGCACCTTAAAAATTCATTAGAAAAGGTTGTGTCGATACTGGAAAACCCTAAAATTCGATCATCTTGACCTCAAGATATATGGACATGAGAAAAAATAGATTTCAAGTCTTGGAAATAGTACATCTTGTAATGTATTACGTAGACCGTCAATTTTCAAGATTTTTAAGTATTCATAGATACGCTCGATCTGCACTATTTTTTAACTTTAAATTTTATAATTAGAGATGAAAATAATTTTTTAGGCCATCATAAAGATTTCTGATATTGAAATAACAAATTTCGGCACTATTTGAAGGTGCGCCCTACTTTGATTGTTTAGGACTTCAGCCTTATACAAATCACATCCTATATAAAATAGGAAAGCAATTTATGCCATAAGAAGAATCATGTGTGACATTTGTTACCGCAATGGGATCACCATGAGCCTTTCCTTACGGGCTGTGAAGATTCTGTACCTTCTGATGATAAACATTCACAAATAGTGCGGTAAATCTCTACCCCCTGTTACAAGATACAGACGACGGTTGCCCTTCTGGTTGAACATATGTCATACACTACCTGTGTACGGGTGTATGGTATACTTCATGATTCTTAATAATTCTCATAATTTCTTTATCAGGTTGAGCTATGTGCTTTTGGTTATATAGAATGAAAAAATTCCTGTATTTTGGCCGTTAATTTATGATTTGGTGTAAGTTGAGTCACGTGGTTTGGTTTTGGGTCATGTGGCTTGTGATTAAGGTTCAGAAGTAGTGTAACTCTGAATTGTCTTTATGGCATCAATTTTGACAGCAATCCTGTCATTCAGGGATCACTCTTTTCCAAAGAATTATCTATGCTGATGGCAGAATATGTCTGATCATCTAGTTGCTCTATTTGAAAGGACATTGTAAAGCTTCTTTAGTCTTTTTGGTGGCTATGTTAGGGTCAATTGGTCATTTTACCTCTATCCCCAAAGTTCTGCAAGTTCATTGTGTCATGTGTGACTCTTCTCCATTGCAAGCCTAGTGGAGCCAGATGGTATATGGGATCTTGTTGTACCAGATGAAACTTTAAAATTAAAACATGGGCAATCTGGATAGAGCCACCAAATATCATGTAGCAATCACATAGATTATGAAAATAATCCAACATTTTAAATTTACTTTTAAAATATTGTATACGAATTTGACCTTTTTAACAGAATTTCTGGCTACTATGCAAATAATCTGGTGAAGTTCTTGTTGTTAATGAAAATTCTTATATTGTTACGTGGTTTTGCTAGGAAAATAGCTACTGTGACCAAATATTTTATTCTTTTTCCAAGCTTTAGGGTATATTCTTCTGAACATGCGTGAAATTCAGCTTCCTTCCTATTCTGATACATGGTAAGATGTAAACGTAATGGAGGCAGAGTATGATATCAACATCTTATTGAAACTTGACATACAACTAGTTGTTGTCACCAGGGGACTTACACACAGATGCTTTCTTATGGACACTTAAACCAACTCAACTTTTCTGTGCATTTGTTCATATTGGTTGCAGTTACTGGTGTTCATATGGGAGTCTTATGTTTTATTGTTGACAGGTGCTCTGTGGAGAGAAATATGGCAACGGGGCAACTTTTCTCAAAAAATACACAAGCCTTGTTCTACAACTATAAGCAACTTCCGATACAACGAATGCTTGATTTCGATTTCCTTTGTGGTATGCATGTGCCTTGTGACTTACGTATGTATATAGTCTCCTCACAGTATACACATTCATGGACACATGTGCTGAACATGAACATGGGACACAGGAAGCTTCAAAACAGTTACCCATAGTAAGAAAACATAAAAGTTAAAGTTATATCTTTTACAAAATCGAAATTTGGAAGCTTGAGTTTATTGTGCATCATCATATTATAGCTGCCTTTTCTTATATACTTGGACTTGGAGAAATATCTTAATGCAATTATTGTAATGATATCATCAGTTATTTCTCTAGTTTGTCATGGTTTAAAATTTTAATCTTCATATCTAAGTTATTTCTTCATTCTTTATTTGATCTTGATTCTCTATGCTTTCTTAGTTTTTTTTTCGGTCTTGTAAACTGTGTGCCCTTTTATGGGGTAAAATCAATCAATTAGAGTGGTTGGTACATGGCCAAATCATGGGATGTGTCCGTGCAGCATAACTCTCATGGCACTAAGGCTTTCAGTTGTCCTATGTTACATGGATTCGTCTGCTTGGGAGCCATGCCCATTTCTAGCCATCTATTGACTGCATACCGACACATATTCTTTTGGATTCTTCATGTTCATTGACTATTGAGTACGTTATTGATGTAGAATTCAATCTTTTTTTTTTGTTTTGAGTTGACAAATTTGTACTTTGAATATATTGTTTGAATTCAAGCAACTAAGACATATTTGAGTTTTTGGATTCTCATCATGAATTAGGATAGTAGTAAGTAATATAGGATTTTTGTTCTCTCTTTATAATATATCTGTATTGCCAAATCTTGTTCTGCATGGAATAGGGAATCCAACGCCATAAACTGTGTCTGGCACTTACACAAGTATCTGTGTGCATGCAACGTATGAATTGCCCGTACACTGTAGTTTGTTATTGTTTATTCCTAGTACTCCACATTAAATTGGAATTCATTTTCTTTACCTCATGGTTTCAGGCCGGGATACACCATCTGTTGCTGGAATTATAAATCCTGGTGCTGAGGGATTCCAAAAACTCTTTTTTGGACAAGAGGAAATTGCCATACCTGTTCATTCTAGGTGACTTTTTCTTTTTTTAGTACTAAAGAGGAAGATATATTTGAATTAGGAAGTGCAACTATGATAATGTAGCATATTTTACTAACTGGAATCCTTCTTTGTACTTGTTTCTGGATTTCGTTTTTGCAGCATTGAAGCGGCTTGTAGTGCACATCCAACTGCTGATGTTTTCATCAATTTTGCTTCCTTCAGAAGGTTTTGCCCCAGACCTACATTTTTCCTTATAGTTTAATTAGACTATGGTATATAGAGCATACACATGTTTGCATCTTGGATTGCAGATTTATTTGTTTTTGTATGTCTGCAGTTCAGCTGCTTCCTCCATGGCTGCATTGAAACAACCAACCATCAGAGTAGTAGCCATAATAGCTGAAGGTGTCCCAGAAGCGGATTCTAAGCAGTTGATTGCATATTCCCGGGCTAACAACAAGGTATTTGAAGATGATTCAATTTCTCAAGTATTACCTTCAATCTTATGAGGGATTATTGCCTGCTGGAACTATGGGGCACATGTGGCATTTGATGATCCTACACATTCCTATTAGTTTTAATCAGTGTTAAAAAACTTGGCCGTGTCGACTTGGACTTGGCTGAGTTACTCAGTCTCGGCACTAAGGCAAGTTCTACTGAAAAACTCATTATTATTAAAAGGTCTTAAATTTTTTTTTTTTTAATAAATGAATAATAAATGATGCAAAAATATGTTTGTATGTAATATTTATGTTTTTTATGTTATACTTTATTTGTCGATTTTTCCTCTTTTTATTATTCGGAATTGTTTCATACTATAGATCAATTTTTTCTATATTCCTTCTTTTACTTATATTTTTCTAGTTTTTTTATACTTTTAATGTTATTATTTTAGCTTATTACTATTTTTTTTATTTTTAATAATTTTTTTATATTAGTTTTTGCAATTTTGAGACCTTTGTGAGATCATACACAACTTGGGTAAGTCCAAGTTACTCGGCTTGGGCAGCGGCTGAGTTCCAAGCCTGAACCGAGTTTTTCCACACTGGTTTAATCTTTCGTTGGTGTCTTCTTTTGCCCATTTTACTTTCCTCCTTGTTGCAGCTTATTAATATAAAAGGAAATATGTCTGATAAAAAAAGTGATGTGGTTTGCAGGTTGTTATTGGCCCTGCAACTGTCGGTGGAATTCAAGCAGGAGCTTTTAAAATTGGTGACACTGCAGGTACAATTGACAACATCATCCAGTGCAAGCTTTACAGGCCTGGATCTGTTGGATTTGTCTCCAAATCTGTATGTTCTTTCCTTCTCATGCTTCATTCTTAAAGTTTGTTGGCTATTGTTTGGCTATTGTCCTTGCCATGACATAATATGTCTATTATTGACTCGGAATGTGATAGAAAGTTTGGAGTTGTTGGAAGATTTATGTGTACCATCACGACATTAGGCAACCATGCACTGTTTCCAGACTGAGTAATGAGCAGCATAGTTTGGTTACTTTTTTCTTATTCACCATCTTAAGCAAGAATTTCCATCTTCTGAATATAGTTTCACCTACACAAGCATTAGTACCTGTATACCAAGTAAAGCATGTTTGGACAAAGCTAGAAAGGGGACTTCTTCTATAGCCCTTTTCCTGCACCCATATTTCCTATTTGAGGAAAAAACAAGAATTATATTACTTGATTTGATAAGAATTTCAACCTTTCATCAACTTTGACGACTATACAAATTTCTTGGATCAAAATTCTTGAGAAACTGAATATCCCAATTTTTATATGACTTCTTTAAAGTCATGCCACTGGTTACCAAAGCAATGTGGCCCCTGATCCCTATTTCAACAGAAACCCCTTTTAGGCCATGAGGGCTCAGTCACTAATTGTGTCCCTTAACTTCCCTTGCCAAAGTCTTGACACCAGTTCACATTCCATATGACTTGGCTGACAAGGAATCTTTATTCTGTAAATGTCCAACAAAACACTTTTCCATTTGAGCCAATCCTGGGTTCCCTTTGTAAGCATCTTCCATCCCAAACCTTTCTGCCTGTTGTTGATTTTTTATTGCTAGTTCACTTCTACCTGTTAATGATTATTTATTGCTTCCCTGAAATCTTTTACCATTTGAAACTTATCATCTATGATTGCTAGCATAGATCACAGGGTTCATGGGCTAATAATTCTTTGTGGGTGCAGGGAGGCATGTCAAATGAACTTTACAATACAATCGCCCGTGTAACAGATGGAATTTATGAAGGTAACTAAAAGTTCATGTTCTTCCTTTGTGCATAATTGATCATCATCATCAACATCAGAGCTTTTTCTCAACTAATTGGGGTCGGTTATACAAATCTCAGTCGGCTATTCTGCTCTATTAAAGGTCATACCCTTAGTGAGGACACAGGTCCCCATTTCTTTTCTGACTACTTCCAACCACATCTTTTTGGGCCTATCCCTTGCTCTTATTGAGCCTTCCACTTGAACTAATTTGCACCTACTAACGGATGTTGTACTGGGTCTGCACTGCACATGGTTAGCCTACTTAAGTCTACTTTTTTCTCTTACCTTACCTCCTATCAGTGCAACACCTAAATTCTTCTGAATGTAGTCATTTCGAATTCTATCCCTTCTTGTCTTGCCACTCACCCATCTCAACATCCTCATCTCAATTACACTCATTCTATGGATACATTGTATTTTTGTGCATAATTGATATTTTACATAAATATGTGCTCATGATGGTCATCTTTAGGCATTGCAATCGGGGGAGATGTTTTTCCTGGATCAACTCTCTCTGATCATGTCTTGCGTTTTAATAACATACCACAGGTACATGCGTTGATCCTTTACATGACTTTAGAAATGTATCAAGATGGATATAAGCACCTGTGTAGCAAAACTTTTCACTCATGCAATGGATTTCTGAAATCCAAACCCACTAGTGCGATGCCACTGCAGGGAATATGCCTTCCTAAACAGAGGATACAATGTTCTCAAAATTTATAATTCGTATTGTCATCTAAAATAAGCACGAAGTTTAAGCACTAGAACTCCATTTCATTAGTTTGGAGAAGCTTTGGACACTTAAGTACTGAACCTTGTTTAATCTTTCCGATAAGGAATCTTTGTGGTCTAAATTCCTTGTAGGCCTTAGTTAAAATAACCACCAAACATAAAGTCAAATCCATTTTAACATAGCTCTTTTTTTGTTTTGAGAGGAGTTGTCTATCCGATAGTTGCTTTGCCTTCTTTTGATTCAATTGTGCAATTTGAATCAGGTCAAAATGATGGTTGTGCTTGGGGAGCTTGGTGGGCGAGATGAGTATTCCTTAGTTGAGGCCTTAAAGCAAGGAAGGGTCCATAAGCCAGTGGTTGCTTGGGTTAGTGGTACCTGTGCAAGGCTCTTTAAGTCGGAAGTGCAGTTTGGCCATGCTGTAAGCCCTAGTCCATCATTTTATGCAGAATTTTATTGTTGATTACTTTCTTCCAATTGTTTTGGTAGATAGCTATTTTCCTCATTCAATCTATGGAATTTTTCTTTAACCAGGGTGCTAAAAGTGGTGGTGAGTTGGAATCAGCACAAGGAAAGAATCAAGCATTAAGGGAAGCAGGAGCAATTGTGCCCACATCTTATGAGGCTTTTGAGAGTGTGATTAAAGAGACATTTTATAAGCTTGTAAGTATGTTTGGGTTTTGACTGTAACTTGAAGTTTATTCTGCATGGACACCAACCGTATTTGAAATCTGAGAGCTGGACCTAGCACACTATCATAGAAACTTGAATTATTAAGATTACCTGCATGGGTCAGTTTTGTTTTGGATGGCTCTTTTAACACCAGCTATTATCATTGTCAGAGTCTTTTTCCAACTAATTGGGGCCGGCTTTATGAATCCTTGTCCGCCATTTTGCTCTATTAAGGGCCACATCCTCAGTGGCGCCATAAGTCCCTATATTGTTTCTCACTACTTCCAAACATGTCCTCTTGGGCCTACCCCTTATTATTTTTGAGCCTTCTATTTGAATTAACTCACACCTCCTAACAGGTATTATATTGGGTTTGCCCCGCACATGGCCAGCCCACCTAAGTCGTCTCTCTCATCTTATCGCCTTTTGGTGGCTCACCTAAATTCTCCCGAATGTATTTATTCTGAATATTATTCCTTCTTGCCACTAATCCATCTCAACATCCCCATCTCAACTATACTCATTCTATGGGCATGTTGTTTCTTGACTACCTAACATTCGGAGCCATAAAACAAAGCTGCTCTCACAGCTGTCCTATAGAGCTTGCCCATTAGCGTCATTGGTATGCAGCAATCACATAAAACTCTAATTGCACATCTGCACTTCACCCACTCAGCTCTAATTTTATGTGTGGCATCGTCCTCAATCTCTCCATTCTCTTGGATTATCGACCCAAGATATCAGAAGTGCAATTTTTTTGGTATTTCTTGACCATCAATCTTAACTACTTCCTCATTTCTACTCTTATTATTATTAAACTTGCATTCCACGTACTCTGTCTTAGTTCGGCTAATTTTAAAATCTTTAGATTCTAGAGCATCCCTCCAAAGTTCTAACATTGTGTTGATGCTATTTTGGGTTTCATCGATCAAAACTATGTGGTCCGTGAAAACATGCACCATGGTACCTCATCTTGTACGTATCTAGTTAAGTCGTCCATAACTAAGACAAAGAGGTATGAGCTATTTTAACACCAGTATGGTGTTTAAAAGAGCTGACAAGGACAAGCAATTGCATAAAGGGCAAGTCTCCTCACTTGACCTGGGACAAAATGGTCATTGAAAATTGTTGAGGGGTTTGCATACTGTTTTAATATTTTGAGTTTGACCTGCTTGATCTATGAGGTGTTCCAGGTACTCTGTTGATATTCTCTCCAATTTCTTATGTTTGGCATAGAATGCTGTAGAAATGATGCATGCACCTAGGCTCAATTGGGGCCCTCTCCCCATGGACTCACCCAAAAAACAAATGATGTGTGCATCTATAATCCTGTACAGTTGATCTTTTCTTCCTGTTGAAAAAAGATTCTTTATTATTATGGTATTTTTACATTTCTAAACTGTAGGTTGAGGAAGGAAAGGTTTCTCCAGTTAAGGAAGTGAAGCCTCCTCCTATTCCTGAGGATCTTAACTCAGCTATTAAGAGTGGAAAGGTTCGGGCACCAACTCATATTATCTCCACAATCTCAGATGACCGAGGTTGGATATGAATGACCCATTTCACCGTCCCTTCAGATTATCCTGACCTCAAATTCAATGCTCTCAATGCTTTCTGTTCCTTCTAATTTGTGTAGGTGACGAACCTTGTTATGGTGGTGTTCCTATGTCCACCATTGTAGAGAAAGGCTATGGTGTTGGCGATGTTATTTCACTTTTGTGGTTCAAGCGCAGTCTACCTCGATACTGTACACAGTTCATTGAGGTGGGTTTGCTTTAAGCCTTGCATATAACTGCTTTCCATCCTAATTGATTTCATGGTATTTGCAGTGCTTTAAAACTAGCTGATTCCAACTTTGACTCGGACCGAGTCTGAGCAAAAAAACCTTGGGAACTGGCCAATTCTGATCGGTTCCTGAAGTTTCTTTGATAAATGTTGTAATACTTGGCTGGATTGAACAGCTCCATTCGGGCTCAGGACTCGAATCCAGGGTTTAAAATACTGAAAATTTGGTTCATTTCTGTAGAGTGTTTCATGTTTTCTAACCATGCAAGTGCGATTAAAAATGCATTTATATCTTAAGTAAAATGGAAAGCATAATATGGTCGAATGGATTATGAAAAGTTGGATCATCATCATCTAATGAAATGGACAGTGATGGAGCTTGAGTGGGACCCACCATTGGGTCCTGTCCTTTCCTGATGGGTCGCACTATCTGTCCATCACCATTAATCATTTGATGCTATGAAATAATGGATCATGAAATGATGAATGCTGATTACCCCAATGAACTGTATGTAATTCTGTGTGAATATATTGTAGTTTCCCAAACAGATACTTGTGTTAAAGGCTTGATCGGCTCGTTCTTTCACTATTTGGTAACAAAGTATGTATTATTCCCCATCAGATCTGTATCATGTTATGTGCCGATCATGGTCCTTGTGTGTCTGGTGCCCACAACACGATAGTTACAGCAAGGGCTGGGAAAGATCTAGTCTCAAGCCTTGTTTCAGGTGAGTTAAAAACATCCAAATGTTTTCCTGTGAGCCTGTTTCATAGAAATATGCATCATCTTTTCTTCTTTTTTTTTCCTTTCATCATTTCTTACTGTCACCAATAAAAAGAATTCATCTTTTACTGTTATTTTTTGCTGTATTCATTTAAGTGTGTAAATCCAAATACTAACTCAGATGTTTGATCAACTTCCGCTATATCTAAGGTAGCAAGCCTTGAAATTATAGGGTTATGCTGAAGCTTCCAATTCTGAAACAGGGCTTCTTACTATTGGTCCACGATTTGGTGGTGCTATAGATGATGCTGCTCGGTACTTTAAGGATGCATATGACAGGGTAAGTTCAGAAGGTTTATAGTCCAATTCACTGTGGAAACCATAGTCCTTTGGGGTAATCAATGTCCAATGACATGTAATGTGATGTTTTTTTGTTTTTGTTTTGGGGGGGCGAGAGAGAAAGAGAGAGGGGAACCCCCATGAATGGGGTCCTGTCCTTTTCTGGTGAGGCTCACTGCCTTTCATCATTGTCTTGTTGTCTCACCTGACCGTGATGACCACGATGGACTTTGGTTTCTGGTAGTCAATTCAAGTAGTGTACACTAAAAGAACTTCGTTCTTTGAGGATTTATCTGAAAAAACTCTTCTTTTGGTGAAAGGGATTTAGATAGGGTTTTCATCCATTCTTACCTTTTAGAAACTAGTGACATACTTTTTTATGTTCTGGTTGTTTGAGATACAATTCTGCTCATTAGTGTAACCCTATGATGTTTCTCTCAGGGTCTTTCTCCATATGAGTTTGTGGAAAGTATGAAAAAGAAAGGCATTCGAGTGCCTGGCATTGGTCACAGGTATGGTGATCTTTTTATGCGGGATAAATTAACGCTTGTGTGCCAAGTCTATTAGTTAAAGTGTAGTTATACCATAATCTAATAAAGTATGGATGAGGTGGATGAAAATTCAAAGCGCATCCACTGTACATTGCTGCTGATGGTCAGTGGAGATTAAACTAGAGGCTCACTAAGACATCCAAAAGTAAAGTTAATCTCTGCTATCCTTCTTCAGGAACCAACGGTGGATGACATCTGAAGTACCCATTAACCAGACACCAGAGGATTATGGTGTATTTTTCTTTGTTAAATAGCATCAAGCAAAACTTTGACAAATATTTTCTTGTTTTTCATCCTGTACTTTCTGCCATATCAGCTCTAATTTGGTGACCCTGCTCAAAAAGCAGTTGTATGAATCCTATGTCTCGCATCCTCGTCATCGACAAATTCACTTTCATTACTAACTATACCCCATTTTCTGACTCTAATTCATGAGCTGGACTTTTTCTATGCTTTTTAAACAAAAAGCCTTGGTTGCCACTGTACTTTCAAAACCACAAATCATATGGTTGCTTCTAGATCCGGAACCTGAATATTGTTGTGTTTGAATCTCAACCTACTGACCCTTTGGTCTGAATCCATTTCTAGAAGCTTTAACTGCATCAATCATTTCTAGAGTTCCAGATTCTGCAGCTTTGCCATGGTTTACATAAGTAAATATACATGCATCCATGTAAATGTATATTTGTACGTATGCATTTGGTGGAATTGATATCTGAAAGGTTTCTCCTGTTGTTTGAAGAATTAAGAGGGGAGACAACAAAGACAAGAGAGTCGAGCTACTTCAGGAATATGCACGTACCCACTTCCCATCCGTGAAATACATGGAGTATGCAGTCCAAGTGGAGACATACACTCTTTCCAAGGCCAACAATCTGGTCCTCAATGTGGATGGTGCAATTGGTTCCCTCTTTTTGGATCTCCTTGCCAGTAGTGGGATGTTCACAAAGCAAGAAATTGATGAGATTATCGAGATTGGTTATCTCAATGGGCTTTTTGTGCTGGCTCGTTCAATTGGTTTGATTGGGTGAGTTGCATGCCTGTTCAGCCAGCATTGGATTTTGGATTTTGGATTTTTGAATTTAATTTTGGGGGACCTATGATAAAATGGGAGTGATTTCAAAAATCATTACTTGAATGGCACTCTGTTTTTCTTTTTTATACCTCCACGGTATGACAAAGGGATAGGATTGTTCAACTGCTCTACTTGTCCAAAGAAAGACAGTTGGTTTTGCCTGACGCTGACTGAAATTTCAAAAAATGGCAGTACACCATTACAGCTGCCTTTGGTTTATTGTTAATAGCGGCCTGTTATGATGTTTTTTTAAAACAGGGTGCATAGAAGTTCTTTAGTAATAGCATTATTTCAGTTTCTCAAATAGAAGAAAAAGCATGATTTCAATGTAAGAATGGCTGACTGTGAAACAACACAGTCTCTCTCTCTCTCTCTCTCTCTCTCTCTCCTCCCTGCTGGGCATGGCTTGGAATAATTTCTCATAGTGCTGCAATGGGTGATCCCAATGCCCATTCTATCTACAGCTAAGCTGCCATCTTTGCCACCCAGAGAGAGCTAAGTTGCCACCTTTGCACTTAGAGAGAGAGAGAGAGTATACTCTGTCTGGTTATGTGGCTTGGTTTGACAAAATCTCTTGGATTGTGGCAGGCATACCTTCGACCAGAAGAGATTGAAGCAACCACTGTACAGGCACCCATGGGAAGACGTCCTCTACACAAAGTAAATGGGCACCTGTTCAATTTTCAGGTTCTCCTTTTCCTTTATTTAAACTTCCATCTCCTTGAATTTTCTAATGATTATATATTTTTTCCTCTTCCGGTTTGCATTTCCTGCCAAAATGGCATGCCGGAAGTTATGTATCAGTCTCCGTACTGCTTGAGTTGCTTGTTTCAATTTGTTGATCAGAGGCTATCTTTTATTTTTATTTTCTTTTTTCTTTTTTGGTGGATAGAGGCTATATAAATATTATATGAATATCAGTGAAGCCCCTATGTTACTAATGGAACTAACAACCGAGTCTGAAGATTTTGGTTTTTCCATCTATATTCTGGTGGCTATCGTTTTATGATTTTTTTTTTTTATTGCATTATCCTCAATCTTATTGAGTGGATCACGTATTGAACTATCCCAGATTGCCTTTTATATTTTTGAGGGTGATCTTATCATGCAAAAACTTTATAAGAAATGGTGGGGGCCAGAAACACAGGTCCCTGTGGTTTAAAGGATTGATATATACGAGTTTGAGACGGGTAGGTGTTGATGTCTAAAACTCATGCTCCTGTTTGATGATTATGCCTCAAAGTCAGGTTCATTTGATTCTGGATATTTGAACATCAGAGAGAGAGGACCCTTTTTTAAAACAAAAATCCAACCACCTTTCAGACTACGTGAGCGAAAAGCCCCAAAGAACCTCTCTCTCTCAATAACTACCTGATTTCAACCAATTTGAAAGCCCACATAATAAGTGAATGCACCTCCAAGGCCATCTTAGTAATGTCGTTAGATTATTAGGTTTTATGTAACTCAGGCAGCATTCAATTATTTTCTTGGATCCAGCTTTAGATTAGGTTTTATGTAACTCAGGCAGCATTCAATTATTTTCATGGATCCAGCTTTAGATTAGGTTTTATGTAACTCAGGCAGCAGTCAATTATTTTCTTGGATCCAGCATGTGTAAGCTCAAAAATATCAAAATATGTTTTAGCACATGGATTACTAAAAGATATTTGCAGTGAATTTATGATTACCACTGCCAGATTAGGAGGTATAGAGCGGTAAACATGGACATGTTAATCAGGCATGGGCTTGATCGTTAGTTTATTTTTTTGGACCGATACTGTCTGTTGTTGATGATTTTACACAACTACTGCGCAAGTTTGGCTCCTATCGCTGTACTGCCTTGAATGAAAACGAAAATGGAAAATATGTCATGTTACCTCAAAACCCATACACATGAAATAACTTTCCCAGCAATGCTATTTCACTGGATTGGAACCAAGTTGGGGGCAATAGATATAATGTTAATGGCTTACTGAGCTCTAAAGTGATCACTGGTGCGTTCTTTCTTTCTTCCTTCTTTGTTCAATGCTCCTCGTCTCCCTATGAGCTCAGAATACACATTCAAAAGAGGTCAGATTGGCTAAGAAAGTGTTATACCTAATGAATATGGGATAATAAGTAAAATAGAATTGAAAGCCAGATGGAACTATTATGAGATATAATAAAATTGCAGAAAATGTCCAATGTGTAATAGGCGGAGAAAAGTTCATTATAGAAAAATAGGACAATCAAAAGGACATGATTGTGATATTTTATTAGGTATTGACTTCTTAAAAGCTAATAGTCCCTTTATACAATAACAAGATTATGTAGCCGTAACCAATGGTTTAAAAAGCGAATCGGTGATCGGGATTGGGCACCTCAAAAATCGATCCGGATCGGCGAATTGGCGATCCAAATTGGGAATCAGTTGAATCGGTCGGATTAAATCTTCAAAAAATTTGAAAAAATTATTAAAATTCATTATAAATGTTGTTTTTTAGAAATCCAATAAGAAATGAGGGTACCACATTATTAACTTTTATTTTTTTATCAATTTGTGAATATTGAGATGCTCTTTCTCTGTAAAAACTTAAATATTAAATTTGCATCACATAAAAGAAAAATCATAGAATTATTATAGATAAAATATATAATTATATATAGATTATAATAAAGAGTAGGCTAAATCAATGAAAGAATAGCCATTTAAAATATCGTTTTTGAGGCTAGAATCGGTACACACGTGCTATACGTGCGACACATGTGGGAGTGGTGTGTGTCGCACGTGTGATGCATACACGCGTGTGAAGGTGTTTTTGAGGTTAGAGGCGGTGCACATGTGCATGTGCGTGTCGCACGTATGGCACGTGTGGGAGTGTGTGTACCACTCGTGTCACACGTACTCACGTGTGGGAGTGGTGCGTGATACGCGTGTTGCATGTATGGCACGTGTGGGAGTGTGTGTGGCACGTGTGGGAGTCAGTACCACTCTTGTCACACGTACACATGTGCGTGTGGGAGTGGTGTGTGTCGCACGTATGGCATGTGTGGGAGTGTGTGTACCGCTCATGTCACACGTACACACGTGTGGGAGTGGTGCGTGGCACGTGTGTCGCACGTATGGCACATGTGGGAGTGTATACCACTAGTGTCACATGTACACACGTGCGTATGGGAGTGGTGCGTGTTGCATGCGTGACGTGTACACACGTGTGAAGGTGCTTTTGAGGCTAGAACCGGGAGGGAACCGGGCTGAACCAGCTAGAACCGGGTGCGATCCGGCGGTTTTGCTCTAAAATTGGGCGGTTCTCGATTTTGTATTGGAACCGACACGGGCTGTTCGACTCGCCGATTTTTAAATCATTGGCCGTAACTACCACTTTATTTCCAAATATAGCTATTACCCCATTCTCATTGAAGCACACAAAATTGGTATTGATGGAATTACACTTTATATACTCATTGCCCAGCGTGGTGAGAATAATATAAAACTTTTAAAATCTGAAGTCGTTAGAAAAAAATGAGGAAAAATAAATAATAGATAGGATAGATGAGATAAATAATAATTATTATAATATTAAAATAATTAAACTAAAGATACCATAATTAGAAGAAATAAGAAATGGTCTAAAGAAAAACTTTAGCGAAAATCCTTTAGAACTATGGGATGAAGACAAAGAAAAATGTGAATTAAAATGTTAGGTGAAGCAAAAATAATTAAAGCAAACCCTATGCCTTGTACGCTACGCCACAAGATTGGAATGAGTTTGAAATACACTTAAAAGAATTGCTAGATAAAAATTTAATTAGACCTAGTAATAGTCCACATATTTCACCAGCCTTCCTATTTAGAAATCATACAGAAATCAAAAGAAGAATAGTTAGCATGGCAATCAATTATTATATGTTAAATGATAATATTAAATTTGATCGGTATTTTATTCCAAATAAGGAAATATTAATTAACAATATTCAAGGAGTCAATTGGTTTAGTAAGTTTAATTCTAAATCAGGATATTGGAAAATAAAAATGGAGGAAGCTAGTATTCCTGATACTGTGTTTAGTGCCCCTCAAGGACAATACGAATGGATGGTTATGCTATTTGGATTAAAAAATGTATCGCAAATATTCTATTATTTAGTAGAATGAGAGAAGAGCATAGGTTCCATTTACAAGCAGTAAGTAGATAGTCAAAAGACAATGGAAAAGCAAGAGATAGATTTCTTAGGACTACAAGAGATAGATTTCTTAGGACTACAAATGGATAGGGGAAGTATAAATTACAACCTTATGTACCAAAAAAAATAGACCAATTTCCAAACAAATTAGTTGAAAAAAAATAGCTACAGATTTTTAGGACGCTTTAAACTGCGCTGTCTTTTGTACCCAAACTAGCATAACTAAGAACTTCATTACAGAAAAAATTGAAGCTCGATAATAAATGGGAATTTAGTGAAGAAGAAATAAAACTAGTAAAATTAATAAAAACAAAATGGGAAATTTAAAAAAACTAAAACTTCCTCAAGAAGAACATTTTATGAAATCAGAAACTGACCAATATTTGGAGTACAATATTAAAATGTAGAAAAAAAAAAAACTAAAAAAGAATTATGCAAATATATCTCATGCAGAACAAAATTACCGCATTAATGAAAAAGAAAATCTGGCTGTCAATAGATAATAGTGGGTTATGGACCCACTACGCCTAGTCGGTCGACCTAATGACCTACTAGGTTGTTAGGGTTGTTCAGGTAGACCAAACCCGAGTCTGGGTCTTGGTTTTGATATTGGACTAATAGTTTCGGCTTGGACCAGGCGGGGTCTCGGTCTCGGTCCCTATTAGGTTGACTTGGCTCTTGGTGAGTGTCAACCTGAACCAATCCGAT